TTGCTACTGCTCGCTGCCGTTCCCGATCCCGAGTCTGATGCTCTTTTCCCCGGGAATCGGCCCTGCAAACGCCTCCTGCCACGACCCGCACTCGCTCCCTGCCCGCAGATGAGGAATGACCCCGCGCCGAGCGGCCGCAGCAGCTTCCCAAACCCATGGAAATACTGTACTACAAAATACGTTATGACGCATTAAAAAAAAAAAAATAAAAAAAAATCAAAAAAAATCTTTATTATTGCCTCTTTCCGTTTCTAAATCTCCACCCGGATTTAGGGACGGATGCCTCTGCGTTTTCCCTGATAAATTACGTTATAATATTGCAGATTAGATTCAGGGCAATGATGCAAAACACGAGGGACTCACTGAGCTGCCCCTCGGGCATCCCGCAGCTGCCCTTTCTGCCCGGGCAAGTCGCTGGTTGTTCTTTGACCTTTAGGGTAATTTTTTTTTCCTTTTAACATCATTTTCAGCCCAGAGAGGTGACAGTGAGGAAAGGACCCAAGCCGGGGTGCCAGCTACTGACGTGCCCTGCAAGCCACAGGGCTGGGGGGGGTCGGGATAGCATCAGCATCAGGACACAAACAGCCTCTGGATTTTGTGGATGCCGATATCGGCACCTGCAATTTCCCACTGTCCCCGTGACAGTGACATTTTCCTCCCAGTAGCTTCCCTCTTGCCAAGATGTATTTGGAGGTTTTGCTTGGCAGAGCCTCAGCAAGGATGAGCCAGGTGGGTACCGGGAACACCCACAGCTCCAGCTGTATTTTCCAATTGAATTAAAGGATAAAAACTAAATTAATTCAGAATATAGGCCAAATTGCTTAGGTAGAATTTGGAGAAAACTTTTTCCATAGGCTCAGTTACTGAATATGACAGGAAATAATGTACCTTCGCCTGGAACATTTGGGAATAGCTGCTTGCCAGGACACCGGGCTGGGACACGCACAGAGATGCTCAGCCCTGACTCCCCTGTTTCTCCCCAGCACCGTACGCTTTTCTGTTTCCTTTCATCCCTATGGTCCTCCTGGGGCTCATCATTTCTAAACGCCAGTGAAATGTTGTTTCTAAAAGCCAGAAAGTTGCAGCTGAAATAAACACCCTTTGGCCAGCACCGCTCTTTGCACCCATCCTGTTCTCCAGGCACCGCGGTGTTTGTGTCCGACACCAAAGCAGCACAACTGAGGGGAGTTTTTGCAGCTCCCCAGAGAAGGGTCTCATTTGGCTGCTTCTTTTTTAACAGGATTTTTAAAATCATGTGTTGCTCTCGGGAAAAACACCCCAAACAAGCAAGATATAACACTGGAAAACGGCTCTGGAGAGCAGCACGATGCGAGACTGGCATTCCCAGCCTCAAGCCCTGCCGGGAACGACTGTAACCACCAAACACTGTGGCAAAAAAAAGCCCAAACCCCAAACCCACCCTGAGCCCACACGAATCTGCACGGTTCGGCCTCAGGATTCGTGGACAAACCCAGCTGGGATTCTGCAAAGCACAGCCCCAGCCCTGCACGGAGTCGGAGCTGTCTCCGCTGCCCGATGCAGAGATGCTCCCACCGGCGGACGGACGGACAGATGGATGCTGGGACTGAGGGCAGTGGGGTGGGCAGGTGGGTACCTGGGTCTCGGAGAGGCTGAGGCTGCTGGCCAGCTGCTTGCGCTCGGCACCCACCACGTAATGATTCTTCTCGAAGGCCCGTTCCAGCCGCAGGAGCTGCGACGGTGAGAAGGCAGTGCGGATGCGCTTGGGTTTCCGGGCAAAGGGGCCGTGGAGGAGCAGGCTCTCCTGGGACACCTCGTTCCCTGCAGACGGAGAGCGGAGTCAGGGTCCCGCACTGGCACTCCTGGCACCCCCCAGCCCCTCTGGGGGAATGTGGGGAGACCAGGGAGGACAGATGAGGGGGTACTGGGTGGCCTGGGCATGGTCCCCACTCAGGGCTTGCAGAATTCATGTCCCCCCTCCAGCACTGAGGTGCTGTGGCCGTGCTGCCTCCCCAGCTGCCCCCAGTCCCATGGTGGGGCTGGGCACAGGGGCGACGTGAGGGGAAGGGAAAGGAGAGAGAAAAAAGAGAGGGAGAAGGGATGGATGGGGAGAGCAGGAGGAAGAGGGAAGAAGGAGAGGGAGGAGAGGTACAGAAAAAATAGAAAGATATTTAAAAAAAAATAAATAAAAAGATTTAAAAGAGGAGAAAGAGAGAGGCAGCCTAAGAAAGTGACAGGGGGGAAAAGAGACAGAAAGAAAGCAGCAAGCAAGCAAGAAAGAATGAAAATAAAAATAAGACAGAAAGAGAAGCAGGAAAGAAAGAGTGAAAGAGAGAAAGAAAGAAAGAAAGA